TGTGTCCTGTGAAGTTAATTTTAAAGTGACGACAAAAGGACCCCCAAGGACACACACAAGCGCACACAAGCGGCTGACCGCAATGTGCTTGAGGTCGTCCTAGACTTTTGCGGGCGGAAATCGAGTCCTTTGGCAGCACCTAAGCCTAACCACACGTCAGCAATATCCACATTGGACCAGATACCAGAGACCAGAGACCATTTCCCCATTTTCCCATTTCCATTTGTCGTTCAGCAGGCAAATTGTAGCTGCCGGAAGTCAACCTATTTGTCAGGCAAAAGGACAGGGTTCGCTTCCTGAACAAAGGATTTCCAACAAATTAGGCAAATCGTAACATTGTGGATACGAACAGTGAAGGGAGAGTAATTTTTAAGAGTCAGTGTTTTTATTTCTGCCTAAACAGTTCTCTAATTTTGGTTTGATTTTATATATTAAAGCTTAAAGCGATTTTAAATTCCTTTTACTTATTGTGGCATTTCTGATGGATTTATTTTATTAAAAATTTCGTTTATCAAGACAGCTCTAAATGCGATCAATCCTAAGCTTATTTATTGTGATTGTATTTATAAAGAAATCGAACAATGCGATGAAATGTAAAGCATTTCACTCAAGTATCCTTACTACGACTAATCCTACCGATTGAACTCAACTTGAAGGCTACACTTTCGATCCAAATTCGAACCGAGGCAGTCGTGCTCGAAACTTCACATCCGCGCTCCTTCGATTGGCTGTGGAAACACTTGGAAAGTAAATTGGCATGCTCTTGGGTGTAATTGATATGATGACAGACACACATGGCCGGGAAAAGGACCCCCGAAAATCCAAAAGGGAGCGGATGCGGAAAAGGCACAAGAGCACAGGCAGCCGTAAACTCACATCCGCATCCGCTTTTCCAGCAGACACATATTGACTGTTGATTGCTGTAAATAACATTTTCATCAATACAATTACATGTGGTGTGTGTGTGTTATCGCTGAGGCGAAAATTGAGTTGGAAATTTTTAAGTGCAAAAAATGTTTATGGTTCACTTGATAACACTTCTCAAGTATCGAATGTGCGTGACTCCCATGCGGGTTTCCTCGACCTCAAAGCATTCGAGTGCCGATTGCCGAGTGCGGTTGGCCAGCCATCGACAGCTTGGCTCATATTGCAGGTCTAAAGGAAACAAACAAAATAAATAAAAAAAGGGGGGAAAGGTCGAGAAGGCCGGCCACCACCTTGCAGAAGGAAAAGTCGAAATTTAAAAATAATAAACAAAGGAAGTAAGAGTACGAAGAGAACCCTTCTCTTCTTTGTCACAAATTACTTGCCAGAAAAGTCTACAATATTTCCTACAATAATATTTATTGCTTTATTTTCTTCAAGTTATTCGTGAGAGCAAATTAAATGAAAGAAACTTTAAGGCCAAACATCTGTTGAATCCTTAGATTCTTCTCTTAATTGTCACCTTTTTTCTCCCTCCTCAGCAGCTTTAATTCTCGGGTCTCAGTCTATATTTAGGTCCTTTGTCGGATGGTCGTAACATATACATTTCCTTAAATGCTATATAACATTTCTTTTTTCGGGTATGAAAAGATCAACCAATATTTTATTAAAGAGCGACAGAGAGAGTGAGAGTGAGTGAGAGCGGCTCAGTGTTTCGGTTTTTCCCTGTTTCCCACATTTTGTGTGCACTGCGAAAATCTTTTGTGAGTGGCGACAGTCATAATAACAACAAGAGCAACAACATCGACAAGAGCAGCGACAACGGAAACGGTGACAAAAACGATGAAAGGACTTTGTATCCGGCCTCAATGTGTGCCTTTGTGTGTATGTGTGTGACCGGAGACTTTGTGGAAACTTTCGATTTTCGTTTTTCTTTTTGTCGGTTTTATTTCCCCCATTTTTTGTTTGTTTTTTTTCTTTCTCTTTTCTTTTTTTGATACGAAAAAACAACATCATCAAACAGACACTGGGGGGCCTCTCAGGTGTTGTTGGTGCTGGCACAGGACATTTTTTGCATGGAAGGACATCTTTGTTTGCTTCGTTTCGAGTGTGCGTCTGTGTGTGAGCTCTTTTTGTGTGTGCGCTCGGTGAGAGTCTGTGTGTGTGTGTGTGTGTGTGTGTGTGTACAGGTGCAACACATTCAACAGGTGCTTGAATCAGAGTTCTGTTTTCATTTTCGTGTTCTTTTGCAGTAAAAGTAAGCAAACCAAGAAAAAATACATATAAGAGGATGTTCCTGGAGACGCACAGAGATCTTAAAGTGATAGTTTTGGGTGATGAAAAGTATGCCCTGGCTTTGATAGCTCTATAAATAATTTATGTTTAATTTCCTTAAAGAAATCTATCTTAGATAGCTTTCCACTCAAAGAAGCAAGATTTAAAGCATACTTTTCAGCGCAGAAAAATAAACCCTTCAGAACTCTGTAGTTCAGCTCAGGAATTTTCCCAAATATTTAAAAAAAACAAGACAAGATTACAAGGACAAAAGCCGTCAAGTCAACAAACAGGCGTGGGGTAGAGTGAGTGAGACAACCGACGCAGTGTCAGACAGAGACGGCGAACAGCGAACAGTAACGGTAACAATAACAAATGCAGTAACCGTAGATGCTAGTGTGCTTCCCCCGCAAGTGTGTGTGTGTGTGTGCGTGACTTTGAAAAGGACAGCAGCAGCAGGACACCGACATTGACACAGACAGCGGCACACACACAAAGAGAGAGAGAGAGAGCGAGTGAGAGACAGACGCACCGAGAAAGAGATAGAAAGAGCACCGCTTACCTTTAGGGGGCAGAAAGGGAACTCTCGGGCTGGAGAGACACCGATGGGAGCCCGTGTCAACTAAATCTACGCTAAACTATATGTAAGTCTGCTCGCAGGAATTGTGTCGCACGTGCTGAATGCCGTGCAGCGAGCAGGTCGAGTAGCAGCGTCGCGTCGCGAATCTCTGCAAAATCAAGAAACGCCGTCGGAATCAGCAATCAGCTCTCGATTCTTCCAAAAACCAACCAGACACACAGCACACAGATACTATTCTATACTATATATATGTACGTGTAGGTCGAAATCGGGGTAATATATACACGGGTATGCGGGGCGGTAAGGTAATGACTTAAATGCTGTGATGACATGCGCTATTTCTGGCGCACGGGACAGGAGCGCTTCTCCATGACACTTAAAGTGTTTTTGATGGTTCGGAAATTGGTTTATTTAACGGTTGAACTTGCCTAAGATGACCTTTTTTATTCTACAAAGGAAATTAAAGTTTCACTATGGAAAATATTTCTATATTAAAAACAATAAAAAACAAAGTCGTCACAGAAATCGTTATTCTATTCATAACTAACTTTAAAAGTGTCTACAAATAATCTTTTAAATATTTACGGATTCACATTCAATTCAAATTTCATATGTAGTCATTTTTTAGCACATTTTTGGATGAAATTTTAAAAGATTTCAAATCCACAGATCTAAAATATCGTAATATTATTCATACGCAATGATGCCTTTTTAGGGTGTTTAAATCTTATTCAGAAGCCTGTAACGCTGTCAGGAGTAATTTCCGACCCTATAAATCATATCGATCTAACCATCTTCGGCAAGAAAAAAATTTACAAATTTTTTCACATTTTTTTCGTCTTAATTTTACATTTGTAAAAGTTGAAAAAAATGTCAAAATTTCAAATTATTTAAAATTTTAAATCGGGTATGCAGATTTATTAAACTACTAAAGACTAGCATAGGACCGCTTTCCGAATTAAAATTAATGTATTTTTGCCTTAGTTATGAGATTTTAAAACTTTGATTTGTGGAACAAATTTCCATATAAAATATGGATAAATATTCTTTTAAAAAATGGTATTATACTTGCAGTCAGAAGCTTGTAGGGCAGTGAAGGAGTCATTTCCGACCCTACAAATCATATATATTCTTGATCAGCATCGCAAACTGAATCGATCTAGCCATCTTCGGCAAAAAAAAATTTTTTTAATTTTTTCACATTTTTATCATCATTAATTTTACATCTGTTAAAGGTTAAAAAACATTCAAAATTTTAATTTATTTAAAATTTTAAATCGAATAAGCAGACTTTTTAAACTTTTAAAAATTAACAAATTAATGCATTTTTGGCCTAGTTATGATATTTGAAAAACTATGATTTACCAAAATATTAACATATATACATGTACCTTGAAAATCTAAAACATAACACACATGTACTCCTGCTAACTAAACCTAAAATCCTTGAATTAATTTTTATTTTGTTGATTAACTATTTAAATGTTATATTACGGAATTGAATGAAATAAAAACTTGAATGCCAGTTCATCTAAGACAAGTTCGTCTGTAATTCCCCACAAAACTCAGGCAGACTGCAGTTTGGGGTAATTACTCAACGAGGCCCATTGACAGTGATTACCAGGGGGAGGTGGGACTACAATGGAGGAGATGCTCCTCCGTCAGCGGAGAACACTGGGTGCATTGCTCCCAGCAGAGGAGCTGAGGAGCTGAGGGGCAGAGCAGCAGGTGCAGCCCCAGTTGCCCAAACATTAGAAAATTATTCATTAAAATCAGTCAGAGGTCGGTGGTGGGTCGACAGGTTGGGTGATGCGCACCCGCCAGATGATTTATGCAAGGATTTCTGGTGAGGATGCGGATGTCAGGAAGTTTTCATGGCTGTCTGCCATGTGTGAATGTGCGGGGGAGGACACGTGGGAGTGGTAAATGTCAGTTTTTTTTTTCTTTTGAATATTCATTAAGTTTGTAAATTAATTTTAACGTTCGTTGAGTTTCGTTTTTGGAGCATACAAAAGTGGAGGCGTCCAGCGTGATTCATGGAAAAGAGTCACGAGCCACCAGTTTTATTTTTTCTCTGCTAAAAAAGTGAATGCAACGGCGAGTGAGCGACGGGAAAAACTGCGAAAGAGTTTCCCAGACCGTTAACAGGAGAAAGAGAGTCAAATCGAGTGGCTCTCGAGCATGATATATGTGGGAGGACACTGGGTTGGAGGACACTCACCTGCGACTTGGACCGCATCGTGGGCTGGTACTTGCGGCGAATCTTGCGAGGACAGCACATGCACAGCAGCCGCACAAAGGCCCTGTAAAAAGATTGGAAAAGAAGGGAAGCCCCGAAAGGGTTAAGGTCTTGGCTTCCGAAAGCCACAAAAACGCAGACGTTCTATCTTCTACTCACCTGCGAAAATCCCTGCTCCAGCAGGCATAGATCACAGGATTCATGCATGAGTTAATCCAGCCCAGCCAGGTGACAATCGCAGAGACAATCTCCTCGTGCTCGATGCACTCAATGCAGAAACCGGACAGCAGGTTGACCACAAAGAAGGGCAGCCAGCACACAATGAAGACGCCCATCACAATGCCCAGCGTCTTGGCGGCCTTCTTCTCCTTGGCGAACTTGGCCAGTTTCCGGGATAGGGAGAAGTTCTTGCCCATGTGCCCTCGATGCCTGGCCAGGCCATTGTTGTGCAGGGCGGATAGAGGCTCATCGTCCGGTTCCTCCGGCGTTGATGTGGTCGTTCCACCGCCATGGTTGTGATGGTGATGATGCGAGTGAGAGTGTGAGTGGCTCAAGGAGCCTCCTCCTCCACCGCCACCGCCTCCTCCGCCACCTCCTCCTCCACCAGAAACCTGATTCGCCTGATCCCGAGTGGTGCCACCGCGATGAATACGCAGAGTAAGCTGCAGTTCACCGGAGGCCATCAGCACCTGCTTGGTGCCGATCTTCAGCGATCTCGTTTGGATCACAGCCGCCCTGTAGATCCTGCAGTAGGTGAAGACCATCACCAGAAGCGGCAGGTAGAAGGAGATCGTCGAGGAGAAGACCAGGTAGCCCAGGTGCTCGGTGAATGTGCACTTGTAGGCCGGCATCTCGCCATCCCGCGCCGCCCGCCACCAAACGATTGCCGGGAAACTGATGGCGCTGGAGCAGATCCATACGGCTGCTATCAGGCCGGCTGCCCGCTTCACGGTCATCCGCATGGGATAGCTGAACGGATCCGTGATGGCCCAGTATCGGTCCAGGGAGATCACGCACAGATTCAGGATCGAGGCGGTGCTAAAGAGCACGTCCAGGGAGCGCCAGATGTCGCACCAGTCCGTCCCAAAGAACCAGGTGTTCTCCAGCACCTCGTACAGCGCCGAGAAGGGCATGACCACCAGACCCACAAGGCAATCGGCCACCGCCAGGCTGGTTATGAAATAGTTGGTGGCCGTGTGCAGATACCTTTCCCGGATGACGGCCAGGATGACCAGGGAGTTGCCAAACACTGTGGCAAAGGAGAAAAGGAAGAGGAAGGCCAGCAGGCCAACGCGGTCGTTGGGCAGCGCCTCCAGAAACTCGGAAAGATCGGGCTCCGGCGTGGTTGTGAGACTCTGACTGGTCGTCGTAGTGCTTGCGACGGTGGCATTCAGCACCAGCTCCGTGCTCGTGGGCAGCAGCCCATTAAAGTAGAAGAAGACGTCCTCGGAAATGTTGTAGCTGCCGAAAAGGGGCGACGATGGCGGTGCAGTCTGCATCTGAACCTGGGCCTGCGTCTGATTGAGGCCATCGCCGCGTAACAGCGCCAGGAGGGGAGCGGCTCCATCCGCTTCCGGCGACCCATTGTCCTCGACCATGGCCAACTCAGTGCTGTGTTCCTGCAGCTGACGCGATGCCGAGTCGGAGTGGGAGATCCTTTTCCTGTCCCAGTTCCTGTTTGTGTTCCAGCTGCAGTTGCTGTTGCTGTTGCTGGTGCTTCTTTCTTGCCTCCTCAGACAGTCTGCGGCTGCCAGCCAAATTAATGAAGCGCATTTTCACGTCCTGGGCCAGGACTTGCCGCCGGGCTGCCAAGCTGTGGCTGAAAAAGCAAGAAGAGAGATAGAGATTAGCACAAATGCAGTCAGGATTTAAGACACTCAGACGAAAGGAATTTGATCTTATAAATATTCGGGAGAAACATGTCGTATACGTAATATTTTCTATAGCACAAATATTGCGTATACGCCCCGTATCAATTATACTGCAACAACCATTAATTTCCTTATTTATGTTCAGATTTCGTTTATTTTTGCAATTATTTCGTATATTTATATTCTATTAAGCATCATGCAAGCAGCTCAAAGAACATCCAAGAACCACGACAAAGTTTGGCATTTAATCAACTTTAGATTATGTGAGAAGAGCGAGCTACGCATCCTTCACATCCTTTCTCCGATGTTAAAGGTAGAAAAAACTTTTTGCCAAAAACAGCCTCTAATGAAGCTATTGTAATTGAATAGCTGGCAGGTTGGGCTATAAATTTCATTCAATTAAAATGTTGACTCTTCTCGCATCGCAGCGAGTAACCGAGTTAAGCAAATTTCCACCGGCACAAGAGCTAAACAAACACATTAATTAGAGGATTTTTTGTATTCTGTTTGGGGAAAGGCCGCCTCACCTGCCTGCTCAGCTGGGAAAGGTGCGCAATTAATTGGCAAGCTGGAAGAGGATTCGGAGATTCGGGGCCTCGGAGGCTGCTGCTGCCACACAAATAAACAAATTAAATTACATTTCAAGTGCGCCGGCAGGATGGCAGGAAGTGAAGCGTGCGACCACCACTAGAACTTGAACTCCTCGGGAGGCAGGCGCCCAAAGGGACCAAGATCCCGGGATGGGACTCGACTCGGGAATGGGGAAGGGAATGACAAAGTGGATGGCGCCTTTGTCAACGGAATTTGACAGAGGAAGTCAACAACTGTGCAGCGCATTATTCAAGAGTTGTTGCTCCTGTCAGCGGGTCTTGATTGCTAAGCTTCGTACTTAATGTAAACAGCCGAGTTTGAGTTTGAGTCTGAATGCGACTCCTCCTCTGGGCAGGGATTACTCCGCCGATTCAATGTCTCCATTTGAGAGTGCATTGTAAGGGGAGCTGCACTTTGGGTTTTTCATAAGACCTTCATTGGGTCTCTTCGCTGAAAGATTTCATTTAAGCATTACAAGTGCATGAATAGCCAGGTAATTGCCAATCAAGTTTGGCTTTTCCAACAGGGAATTATGAATTACAGTGAATGAGAAGTTCGTTTGCATCTATTAGGTATTTTTCTAAGGCTTTTACACAGATTAAAGTATAATGATTAATTAAATAACTAACTATCTTCAGCTAGTTTCTTCAGCCAAATAAATGAAATGAAATGGAATTAAATGAATTTTGACGTATATATAAAACACATACAATTTCTTACAAATTCTTTTTATACTTTAATTTACACCTTTAAGATCCTGTTGTAACTTTTATTAAATTCTCCACCCATTATCCTCCCAATTTGTGCCTTTAAAAGTGACTTTATTTACAAATTTCTCATACTCCAACTACCATTTCTGAGTCGCGCGTTCGTTACTTAGTTATGTTTATACCCGTGTTCCTGATTATCACCTGTCAGCGCCAGGACACGAGCCGGCACAGGATCTGGTTGGTCTGCGGCCAATCGAGTGGAGCGGCGAGAAGAGGTCCTTGCCACATTCTGGTTGCTCATTTCCGGGTCGAGACGCGTTGCCTGCATGCCATAAATCGCGCCTTGGCTGCTCTTGTTGGCTTATCTGCCTCGGGGGGAGGAGAGTACAGGAAGGCGAGTCCTGTGTGTGTGTGCTGACACGTTTATGGTTTATGTTTTCTTTAGCCACAGTGCAGAAATGGTAGAGGCTGCGTTGTTTTTTCCGCATTTTTTCCCTTTTTTTGTTGAGCTGTTTAGCACAATTTCCTGGCACATTTCTCATTCGCAACGGCTAAAAAAGCTAACATTTTTTTCACTTACCCGTCCGCCCCTGATGAGGCTGTTGATGTGCAGTAAGTCAAAATGCGAGCTCAGGGCCAGGCCTGGGCGATGGCTCAAAAAACACAGGCCAAACCAAATGAGAAACACGAAAAATATGTGTACACTGGGGGAAATTACTTTGGAAAAGTAAAGGTAAAGTTTTGGGGCTTGAAGTATATTCTTTCTCGATAAAAACTCGCTTTAAATTTCAAAAACTCAATGGAAAAATGTATGATTTGATAATGTTCTTTTTAAATCCCTAAATTTAATCCTAAATCTCACGGTCTCTGTATGTCTAAACTCATATCAAGCTGAGTGGACTTTCCCCTGCAGCTTTCGGGGCTTCTCCTTTATTTCTTTTCTCTTGTTTTCTCTTGTGTTTTTTATTTTTTTGTGTTTTTATTTCGTGTGTCTGGGCCGAGAAAATTTAATTGAGGCAACCTTTAAGGTTGCTGCTAGCTGCGAGAGGGAAAGCTTGCCAAAGTGGCTAGGCCTGGCTGCAAAATGCCTTTCGACCAGGCCAGCAATTTGTATATGTGTGAAAAACCTTTTGACCCTTTTCAGTTGGCCCGGACGAAAGGCTGGGAAAAGGGCAGCGGCATGGAAATGGTTAAGTCATTGAATGGCCTTATGAAAGTTGAGCTGAACGGCCCCGATTTGCATGCGGGCGTTGGCGACGCGTTGGTGTTTTCCAGGAAAAGCGGTCTCGAAATCATGATCAGCTTGCAGGCATGGGTTAATAATTTTCACTTGAATTCTAAAGCCTTCCTTCTACGAAGAGCATTCCGAAAATGAATTCCCTGCAGGACGAGCCAATACACAATTGATATTGATTCGGGGAGACATTAAATTTTAGATTTACAGAGAGCGCCAGTGCCCATGGCCATGCTTCTATCGATACATCGAGTATCCAGTATCTGTATCCGTATCTGTATCTGAGTATCTCGACTGTCACAGCTGCAATAACAGTCTTTGAATTTAAATGAAAGTCAAAATCAGAAATGGAAAAACAAGAACGGCAATATTCCCTGCCCCAACGACTGACACATTCAATAAAGAGTCTGCTATTGCCGCCGCCGGCCATTTGTTGGATTTTTATGTGAACCGTAATTATGTGAAGCGATTTTCCATGTCGCATTGTTGCCTATTGAATTATTAAAAACTTCCGAGACACAACACAGGGCGATGTGTTTATTGAAATTGCCTGCCAACTGGCACCCCAACAAAAGCTTAGGGAAATGGGAAACCCAAGGCACGGGATTGGAGGTGACTCCTACAGTCCGGCTTCCTTTGTCCACGACTCCAGGTAATTTAACTTTTGGGCTAACTTTTTATGGGAACAATTTTTTCTGACAGCAAAAGTCTTTAAATGTAAAATAAAAATATGAAGTTGCATGGGTGTGTAGAAATTAAAACAAAAAACGTTCCTAACAATCCCTCAATTAAATGAGAAACTACAAGTTTATTAAAATTATATCTTTATAAATGTATCAGGATTCTTAAACCCCATTTTCTTATTTAATTATTTCTTATTTAAGAAAATGGGTTTTAAGAATCCTGATAATAATCCTTTTAATTTAAAGAGCAGACCTCTTTAACTTACCAAACGTGTTGTGAGATTCCAATTTAATGTAACTAAAATCCTTCTTAAATATAACTTCATCTAAAGACCATTCTTGTTTAAGACAGCTCTACGATAAATATTTACTTTGTTGATTTCCTGAGGTGCGACCTGTATTTCCCCATCGTTTCCTCCTAGAACTGCCCCACTAAGTAGGCAATACAATTTTTACGGCTCCGTGAAGCACTCCCCCGATGTCAGGCAATATCAGCAGTGCCTCTCACGAGGCCTAATGCCGGAATTTATTAGTGCTCGCCTGCCATTGTTGTTCATGTCGATAAAGGGGCCTTCAATGGCAAAACATGTGCATGTAACTGAGGCCTCTGTATCACCGGCATACCGATCCCAACATCCATTAATTTCCGTGAACTATCAAGGAATTGGAATCACAAAAGCCGCCGCGGCGGTGACATTGAACAACCTTTCTCGAGGCTTTCGGGTATTCAAATTAACTTGAGGTGAGCCGGCGGATAGACTGTGCTATCTCCTATCTCTCCGTGGCATAAGTACAAGTATCGGGATAAGTATCGGTGGCACCCACTCAGGAGCTGGGCTATAAATCGCCGCCTAAAATCTCCCAAATTGCTCCCCGAGCGGGCTGCCTTTTTCTTTTTTCTCTCCTTTTTTTGCCTGACGTTTTCCGCGACTTCAGGTAAGCCAAGCAAAACAAAATGAAAAGGTTCGACTTCGAGTGGCTCCCCGTTGGCGGCCAAATCTTTGACAATCTTAATGCGAATTCAAGTTAAACACACGCACTTCACAGTGGTTCAAGTTACTGCTAATTAGGCATGAATTGAGCGAAGTTTAGTTGTAAAGGTTCTATTGATTTTATTGTTTAGGAACCATGTTAAAAAATTCCACATGAAAATGATAGTTAAATAGGTTTTGTACTATTAATAATTAAGATTATAATTATATTTAAATCGGTCGACTATATCATATAGCTGCCATAGTATCGATCGTTAAATGTATGCCTCTCACTCTCTGTATATGTCTGGGGATCCTTTGCTCTCTATCTCGCTCTGCCCAGCTCTATAGATGCTTGCTCTCTCGCTCTCTCGCTCTCTCGCTCTTGCTTTCTCTGCTCTTCTCTTTCCTCGGCGACTATAAATAGAGGCAGCTTCCGTCGCTCCGACTTCATTCTGTTTGCGGCCTTCCCACTGTTTACATCAGGAGAACTTTGCAGTGATAGTGATAGTGATTGAAGTAGAAGCTCACTTCGATGACGAAAATGGATAACCGTGTTGTGCTCTACTGCGGTAAGTCTTAACTACGACAATTATATAGATCTAATAGGAAGGATCAGCCCTAGTTCTAGTTGTGCTAGAATTATTTTTCATTTTAATTCCTTATTGCCATCGAACCTATCACTTAATTTTAATTTAAAGTGATTCAGCAATTTTAATTAATTTGTATTGTACCCTTGCAGAGTATTATATTTTCACT